CTGAGAGAAATATTTGTTGAATTTTTTATGTTTGGAGAGATATATATTTTGATCATTATTAATTTTTGTTTATTTTTATTTTTGTGATTAATGAATCAGTTGTACAGTATCGCTCAAATTAAAATGTAAAATGATTTAGTAACTTTCAAATTCAATTGTATTATATTTATTTATATCTATGTTTTAATTTCGATTTTAATTAATTTAATGTGTTCGTAAATAAAGCTCTCAGATTGAATCGAGTCAAACCAACATATCAAGTATACTCAAGTATAATACGCACCCGTATATAGTACACACCAGTATATAGTACACACCAGTATAAAGTACACACTAGTATACAGTACACTACAGTATATAGTACACTACAGTATATAGTACACACCAGTATATAGTACACTACAGTATATAATACACACCAGTGTATAGTACACACCAGTATATAGTACACACCAGTATATAGTACACACCAGTATATAATACACACCAGTGTATAGTACACACCAGTGTATAGTACACACCAGTATATAGTACACACCAGTATATAGTACACACCTGTATATAGTACACACCAGTATATAATACACACCAGTTTATAGTACACACCAGTATAAAGTACACACCAGTATATAGTACACACCAGTATACAGTACACACCAATATACAGTACACACCAGTATATAGTACACACCAGTATATAGTACACACCAGTATAAAGTACACACCAGTATATAGTACACACCTGTATATAGTACACACCAGTATATAGTACACACCAGTATATAGTACACACCAGTATATAGTACACACCAGTATATAGTACACACCAGTGTATAATACACACCAGTATATAGTACACACCTGTATATAGTACACACCAGTGTATAGTACACACTAGTATACAGTACACACCAATATACAGTACACACCAGTATATAGTATACACCAGTATATAGTACACACCAGTATATAGTATACACCAGTATAAAGTATACACCAGTATATAGTACACACCAGTATATAGTATACACCAGTATATAGTACACACCAGTATATAGTACACACCAGTATATGGTACACACCAGTATATGGTACACACCAGTATATAGTACACACCAGTATATAGTATACACCAGTATATAGTATACACCAGTATATAGTATACACCAGTATATAGTATACACCAGTATATAGTATACACCAGTATATAGTACACACCAGTATATAGTACACACCAGTATATGGTGTATAGTTAGCTCCATGGAATGAGGCAGTATATAGTAGACATCAGTATATAGTATACACCTGTATATAGTGTATAGTTAGCTCCATGGAATGAGGCGTACCTGAGTAAAATTCACATCGTAGTATAGTATAAAACATTTGTGAAGGAATGATTCAATTTTTGTACACTTCTAGTTCTTCTGAAGACTATTTACATATATTCAAGACCCAAATTAACCCCCAGAAATGGCGAATCTGACCCTTTTAACAAGAGTATGACAGGAAAAATCAAAAACAATTTTAATGACAATTTATTATCATGTATTTTACATGAAAAATGATTCAAGTGAATTTTGATTTCTGAGATATTTTTTAATATCAGGTATAAAAATTTAAATACATTATTTATATCTTAATACAGAGCTGGAAATAATCAGACAGTTAGACACCCCTGAACTTTGTATTGAACTCTTCCACATATACATACATTCAATACAGATATACAGATGGGCAGAATAGTTGATTATTAAAATCAGGGACAACATCCTTCAATTTTCTATTGAACTCTTCTACACGTGCATCTTATCAATTAGCATGATTCAGTGTTATGTGTGTTTGGAAGAGATCATTTTCTAAATGAGGGATGTTTTTGTTACCTGCCAGATCATATCCAACTTTGTTTCTATATATACATAAACATTTTATAAATAATACAAAATTTACACAATGTACAACTGTTGTATAACTAATATGAGAATTAATAAGTCAAATTAATATCACTGAAAATTTCAGAGCAGACGGGAGAAAGAGCTCAGCTCCCGACCTCTTGAAACAGGCAGCTCAGCTATTTCCTCTCGACTGCAGCAGGCTTTAGTTTCGACTTTTCTTTATCGATTATGTAAATTTCTTTTCCTAAAATGTAAACAAACGCTTTTCAAAAGTGATGCAGATAGCTTAAGTTTGCTTCTATCAAATATAAAAGCAAAGAAAACCCAATCTTTTTAAAGTAAAGAATTATTTGTGAATATCCTGTACCAAGTTACCCCATTAAGACAAACAATCCACTTCACTTTGAGGTAGAAAATATAGCTAAACATTTTGTTTCCTCATTCTAATATAAACCACATAAACTTTAAATAGAAAATAAAGTGAAGTGTTTGTGTTCACAGGGTGAATCTAGATCGAAACATCTGTCTCTATTCCAGCTGACAACTGTCAAAATATCAATTAGAGGCTGGAATAGAGGTAGATGTTTCAGAC